AAATATTCACATCCACACATAATACATCTGCCACACCTGTATGTGGCGCTGTAACAATGATAATAACATTTAATCTCATCAGTGTTTTTTAAGCTTTAAGGTAATTTAGTTGAGACAAACTTCTCCTATGTGGATCAAAAAACTTTGTCGTGTGGACGGCCCCTCAGTGTCTGTGTCTATGTGTCTGTGTGTGTGTCTGTGTGTGTCTGTGTGTGTGTCTGTGTGAGTGTGATGTGTGTCTGTGTGTGTGTCTGTGTGTGTGTCTGTGTTGTGTGTGTTCTGTGTTTGTGTGTCTGTGTGTGTCTGTGTTGTTGTGTGTGTGTCTGTGTGTGTGTGTGTCTGTGTGTGTGTGTGTGTTGTCTGTGTCTATGTGTGTGTGTGTGTGTGTGTGTGTGTGGTGTGTGTCTGTGTGTCTGTGTGTGTGTCTGTGTGTGTCTGATGTGTTGTTTGTGTGTGTGTGTCTGTGTCTGTGTGTTTGTGTGTGTGTTGTGTGTGTGTCTGTGTGTGTCTGTGTGTGTGTGTCTGTGTGTGTGTCTGTGTGTGTGTGTGTGTGTGTGTGTGTCTGTGTGTGTGTGTGTGTGTGTGTGTCTGTGTGTGTCTGTGTGGTTGTGTGTGTGTGTCTGTGTGTGTGTGTGTGTGTGTGTGTGTGTGTCTGTGTGTGTGTGTTGTGTGTGTGTGTGTTGTGTGTTTGTGTGTGTGTGTCTGGTGTGTGTGTGTGTCTGTGTGTGTGTGTGTGTGTCTGTGTCTGTGTGTGTGTGTGTCTGGTTGTGTTGTGTGTGTGTGTCTGTGTGTGTGTCTGTGTGTGTCTGTGTGTGTGTGTGTGTGTGTCTGTGTGTGGTCTGTGTGTGTGTCTGTGTGTGTGTGTGTGTGTGTGTGTGTGTGTGTGTGTGTGTGTGTGTCTGTGTGTGTTGTGTGTGTGTTGTCTGTGTGTGTGTTGTGTGTGTGTGTGTTGTGTGTGTGTGTGTGTGTGTGTGTGTGTGTGTCTGTGTGTGGTGTGTGTGTCTGTGTGTGTGTGTCTGTGTGTGTCTGTGTGTGTGTGTGTGTGTGTGTGTCTGTGTGTCTGTGTGTGTGTGTCTGTGTGTGTGTGTCTGTGTGTGTGTGTGTCTGTGTCGTGGCAGTTTAGTTTAAATTTTTGGATTTTTTGAATTTTGTTTTTTTGGATTTTAGGATATTTCTTTCTTTGTTTTTAAAGAACTTTAACAGCAGTTCTGCATTTTGGGTCCTTCCTCTGTTTCTACGTGACAGTTACAGTGAAAAAAAAGTATTTAATTTAATAAACTTAAACATGAGGAGCCCAAGTGCACTGGTGCATCACAAAAAGAGCATGAAAACAATATCACAGATGCTCTTTAGGATTTGTGTAAAAACTCTCAGGTGTTCTGTAGCGCCCCCTGGTGGTGCCCCCGGTGGTGCCCCCCGGTGGTGCCCCCGTGGTGGTGCCCCCCGGTGGAGCCCCCTGGTGGTGCCCCCTGGTGGTGCCCCCCGGTGGTGCCCCCCCGGTGGTGCCCCCGGTGGTGCCCCCCTGGTGGTGCCCCCCGGTGGTGCCCCCCGGTGGTGCCCCCCGGTGGTGCCCCCTGCTGGAGCTGGAGTTGTACCTGAAGATGTGAGGCCAGCAGTCGTGGTTGTGGCTGCCCATCTCCAGACCCACGTTGAGGATGGCGTCCATACAGAGAACATGAGCCGTGTGCAGACGGACCCCGGGGCCCCGCATCTGCTCCAGCCTCTGCTCCACGCGCTGCTTCACTGAGAGACACACACACACAGAGACACACACACACACAGAGACACACACACACACACACACACACAGACACACACACACACACACACACACAGACACACACACACACACACACACAGAGACACACACACACACACACACACACACACACACACACACAGACACACACACAGGAGGGGTCTCAAACTGGGGTCCTGTACCACCACATGTCTCCTGAGCAGCCAGTCTCTTCCACCAGAGCCCGACGTAGAACAGGCGGCGCGGGACACGTTTTGAAAACTCACTGCTGGTGCAAGGAAACTAAATCTGAGTAAAGTAAAATATACAAATATGAATGTAAGAATATTATGGATAATTTGTGCTGGAGATTTTATTTGGCATTAATAAAAACATTTTAAACAGCAGACCGGTCCCCCGTTCTGTACATCGCGCAAGCTGCACCACTAAACCAGGACTAAACCAGGACTAAACCAGGACTAAACCAGGACTAAACCAGGACTAAACCAGGGACTAAACCAGGGACTAAACCAGGACTAAACCAGGGACTAAACCAGGACTAAACCAGGACTAAACCAGGGACTAAACCAGGACTAAATCCAGGTCTAAATCAGGTCTAAACCAGGTCTAAAACAGGAATAAACCAGAACTAAACCAGGACTAAACCAGGACTAAACCAGGGACTAAACCAGGGACTAAACCAGGGACTAAACCAGGACTAAACCAGGGACTAAACCAGGACTAAACCAGGACTAAACCAGG